TTGATATGCTATTTTTTTTAATTTAACGAATCTTTCAAATCTTTTTTAAATCAACAATTTAATGATTAATTAAAATGTTTTAGCTGCATACGTTAGATGTGCTGAGACCGTTTTGGATGTTATCCAAACACCAAATCATGCTGATGATGATGATGCATTACTAAATAGTATCTAACACAGTCGTTTTTTTTTCATGTAATAATTAAGATGATGTTTTATATGCTCCGATTACGTCAGAGTGGATCATCTTTCCTGTACTTATTGGTGATATTTACCAGTACATATTACACTTTAAAAAACATAGTAGTGAAAACAGCTGTATTCTGGAACATGGTTGAAGCAAGTATAAGATTTTTGAAGATGAGTTCATCTTCCAATGACTAGCTGGTCCAGGCTTGGATTAGCTTAGATCAACTCATTTCCTTGTTGGATCAGCTTTGCTCAGCTCATGACTTGATCTTGAAACAGCTTGGACCAACTTCGACCTGTTTATAACCAATTTATGACATGTTCCAAAACACAGCACCACACCAGCAGCATTAACCAGCATGGAAATTGTATTGGTCTATGCTACTTTTTAGAAGCATAAAAACATAACATTGCAGTGAATGACTTGCTACATGTATGCTCATGTAAAAATGTGTGTTTTTTGTTTATCACAGGATGCCTGGGTCCACACTAAAAATATGCAGATCATGCAATGTCCACATTTCAGTGGCTTGCAAAACCTGCAAACACTGCGGGCAAAAACAAGACATGAAAAAGGCCATAAAAGTTGCAAAACAAAAAATAAATGACAGATGGGTCAAAAATATGAAAGGTTCAAATAATTTTTGTAAACTTGTAAATTCTGCAAATGTTCTGGTAAGTCACTATATTAAATGCATTCAAATGTTAAAGTTGGCCTTTGGAGCATGAAGCATGATGAACTTTATTAAAGGGATAGTTCACCCAAAAATTAACTGTCATCATTTACTCACCTTCAAGTAGTTCCAAACCTGTATAAATTTCTTTGTACTGTACTGCTGAACACAAAAGAAGATATTTGGAAGAATGTCAGTAACGTGTCAGGATGGTCTAAAACAGTACTTTTCAACTCCAGTCCTTGGGACCCACCACTGCTCTGCACACTCAGTTGAGTTCAGGAAGCTTTTTCCTAATGAGCTGATGATCTGGATCAGGTGTGTTAAATAAGGAAGACATGCAAAATGTGCAGAGCAGTGGGTCCCATCAGAGATTGGGTGCTTCTCAATTAGCTCCCCAGTTGATGCTCACTATGTTCCCTTAACGAAAGTTCTGAAGCGCTAAACTTAAATCACGTGAGCTTTAAGTTTTTATCATAATTTTAGTCAATGTACACTATATTGGCAAAAGTATTGAGACACCCCTCCAAATCATTGAATTCAGGTGTTCCAATCACTTCCATGGCCACAGGTGTATAAAATCAAGCACCTAGGCATGCAGACTGCTTCTACAAACATTTGTGAAAGAATGGGTCGCTCTCAGGAGCTCAATCATGGTACCGTGATAGGTTGCCATAGGTCCTCACTACTAAATATTCCACAGTCAACTGTTAGTGGTATTATAACAAAGGTTGTTTTTCAGGGGTTGGGCTTGACCCCTTACTTCCAGTGAAAGAAACTCTTAATGCTTCAGCATACCAAGACATTTTGGCCAATTTCATGCTCCCAACTTTGTGGGAACAGTTTGGGGATGGCACCTTCCTGTTCCAACATGACTGCACACCAGTGCACAAAGCAAGGTCCATAAAGACATGGATGAGTGAGTTTGGTGTGGAGGAACTTGACTGGCCAGCACAGAGTCCTGACCTCAACCCGATAGAACACCTTTGGGATGAATTAGAGTGGAGACTGCGAGCCAGGCCTTCTCCCCAACATCACTGCCTGACCTCACAAATGTGCTTCTAGAAGAATGGTCAAAAATGGATTAAGAATGGAATGTCATTAAAGTTCATGTGCATGTAAAGGCAGGAGTCCCAGAACTTTTGGCAATATAGTGTACTTGCAAGTAATTACAAGTAATGTCAGAAAGATATCAGCTCTGCTGTTGTTCATAAATACCAGTAGTGATGTTGTACAATGATGTGTGTGATGTCGCCTGAAATAGAGTCATCAGTGTCCCAATGTGTAGTGAGCCAGTGTCCTTTACTGTCCTTACCAGTGCCTGAATTTGTACACGATATACTGATTCACGAGTTCGGGAGCTGATTGAGACGCACCCATTGACTTATTATTGTGGAGATGAGAGGGTCTGTATCTCTTACCATTGGAGAAAGCATAACAGCTAACTTGGAACACGTGAGGCACTTCAGCCTATCGTGTAATGCCAGTGACATCAGTGCCCGCCATTCAAAGTTTTATGTTTGTTACAGTTTTCATTAATCAGTTTCTTGTGGATTAGCGCACTGGTCTTGTGAATAAATGTTCTATATTTGGTGTTATGCCACTAGTAAATGTACAGTAGGTCTGCATTGTTTGTGAAATGTGCTTTACTACGGTAAAAAAGAGAGCAAATATCTCTTATTAGCTGCAAATTAGTCACTGCAGGGAGGATAAAACATATTCATTTTATTAAAATTATATGTATATATTTAACTTCATAAATTATTACAATACAATTCTAACCTAGCAGCGATAAAAAGAACACTTAATTTTTTTAATTTTCATTAAACAACATACAATGTAACAATATTTACAATTAAATTATTCATTATCTCTTTATTCATTATGTATAATATCAGTGTTATATATGCATACATGCATAATAGTCATTACAATTCAAGTCTTACCATAACTGGTAAAACCTGAAAGCCAAAGAAATAAAACTGTATTTTTTGCTTTCTTTAGACAATATACATTACAATATCACTCAATATTACTATTAAAAACTATGGTAATGCAATAAATGTGTCCTACTTGTCGTGACATTCCCTTCTCTGTCTTATAAAATAACCTTTTTATCATAGTCAAATCTACATATCGTTCCCAATAAAAGTATTGTGTAGCATAAAACATGTTGAAGATTAGCAGACAGGCAGTCGATTCAGTAAATGGTAAGCTTCCTCACAAAAGCGGTTTATTCAATGTTGTCACGGCGCAGTCAGGAAACACCGTGTAAACAAAGGTTTGGGTCCAAGTGCAGGTTTTATTTACTTAGGGGAAAAACAAAGGTGAAAACAGAAAACACAAACAGAGCTAAGACTCTGAAACAGGCTTGAAACCGAAAAATGGACTCGGACGCAATACGGCCACTTGGCTTGCATCAGTCCCGGAACAAACTCTATACCACTACTAACATACATTAATAATCCGCCCGGTGTGGCATGGGGAAGACGCATAAATAGCCCTCAGGATGGGACACAGCTGTGTGTGAGTGAGTGTGTGCACAGGTGTGTGGAGTCAAGGTGATGGAGTTCCGGATGGGCAACAGCTGCGTGTGTGTGTGTGAGTCTGTGTCTGTGTGTCTGTGTGTGTGAGTGAGTGTGTGCACAGGTGTGTGGAGTCAAGGTGATGGAGTTCCGGATGGGCAACAGCTGCGTGTGTCTGTGTGTGTGTGAGTGAGTGTGTGTGTGAGTGAGTGTGTGCACAGGTGTGTGGAGTCAAGACCTCTGGTGGTGAGAGGGAGAACCACAGACGCCAGACCCTGAGAAATGTAGTGAAGCCTCTTCTCCATTAACATCCATTTAAAAAACAGTCTCTGGTCTCCTTTCCTGCATATCGACAAAGCCACAGTGTTAGTATTACCCATTACGCTTTTTTGGCTAAAGGTTGCAGGCTTCCCTTCCAGTGTCTTTGGTCCCAAGGATTGGAGTTGAGAACCACTTATCTAAAAGCATATTTAAAAAAAAAAGAAGAAGGGCTTCATTACTTTGCTGTCATTTTTTATTCTTTAAAGTAAGGATTTTGTTTTAGCATGTTTAATAATTTGGACATATAACATATTGTTTTTCTTGTCATATTGACCTTTTGACATTTATTTTTACTTTACAAGATGCCTGCTCAAGGAACAAGACCCTGTGATCCGGTTATATACACTCCCTATTTAGGTCGCGAGGCCTCTGTCCAAGCCTCTGCTTCAGCACCCAATGCCCTTCATCTACCCGTCTCAAAATTGATTACAGGTAACACTACTGTGACTCTATCTGTCTGTCTGTCAAGTCTAGTCTAGTCTAGTCTAGTCTAGTCTAGTCTATCCATTTAAACTCTCTTCAGGTCCTGAGGACTCTGTCCACGCCTCTGCTTCAGCACACAATGCCCTTCATCTACCCGTCTCAAAATTGAACAAATTTCACTACAAGATTAAAGGTAATTCCCTTAATGTCATTTTTGTTTGCATATTACAATATTTTTCACATTGTTTTTTTCCTCCTGCTGTTGAAAGTTAAGTAAAAAATGTAATTATTTTATTGGTTTTAGTTATTGTTATATATCACCTTCACCTTATTAACTAATGTAATAAAAAAGAAAGGGAAAATGGTACAACATTACAGGATCAAAGGACTTATATACTGTTTCAAAGGATCTGTACACACATCAGGCAAAAAGAATGTAGTTTGCAAAACGAAAAACATCTAGATGAGATTAATTGTCAGTCATCATCTATAGTTTGGGGCCATATGTACACTGAACTGTTCATCAAACAGTGTTTACCCCACAGTTTTTGCAATGTACCATTAAACTGCATTTTAATACTTAAAATACATTGGAAGATTGTCTTGGTCTTTTTAACTATTAACACACAATAAGAAATGTATATATGTAACACATGTGAATGTCAGATTTATTTCTATCATTCTACATCTATATGCCTTTAATTTTCAATCCATCCGTCCATCCATCAATGCATACATACATACATACATCCAGCATTGTGTGTTTGAAGCCTCAGTCCTGTTCAAATAGTAATATAATTATGTTTTTGCCCTCTTCCTAATAGACTGCCCAGTGCATTTAAACAAAGGAGACTTTCCATTTGTAAAAACCATGGGAATGAGAATATAAAAAAATGTAAGTAACATTGAATTGATTTTATTCAGCTTTAATTTGAATTTCTGTGAGACAGCTTCAGACAGCTTTGGGATAAAAAAATAAATAAAGAATTTACATTTTGAAAAAAAAGTTCATGTAATTTGCTTAATTTCAGGGGAAGAAAGAGACAAAGGTGCGCTGGCAGCCTTGCTCTGGCTGGTATGTACTTTTTATATTGATATTGATTTATATTGAAAAACGCTTAGCATGCAAAGTTTTCTAGTTAAGCTGTAAATAAAACCGTTTTACACAAGTTTGTGTGAACTTTATTCTCTTTATCTTATATTATGCTACTTAAATGCAGTTTTACTTGCATCTTGTTTTTTTAATGTCTCTTAGTGTGAAAATAATTTACTTAAAATTGATTTTGTTTTCCAGTGGATTAAAGTGGAAGGACACGTGGGAGCCTTATGAACTTTTTCATTCAGTTGAATAAATTGAAGTGTTTTTGTTGTTGTTTGATGCAGAAAAGCTAGTTCATGCATTCATGACCTCTAGACTGGACTATTGTAATGCACTTCTAGGTGGTTGTCCTGCATCTTCAATAAACAAGCTACAGGTAGTCCAAAATGCAGCGGCTAGAGTCCTTACCAGGTCAAGAAAATATGATCATATTACCCCAATTTTACAGTCTCTGCACTGGCTACCTGTTAAGTTCCGTATCAGTTACAAAATATTATTACTTGCCTATAAGGCCCTTAATGGGTTAGCTCCTGCGTACCTAACTAGTCTTCTACCACGCTACAATCCATCACGCTCTCTAAGGTCGCAAAATTCTGGACTTTTGGTAGTACCTAGGATATCAAAGTCCACTAAAGGAGGTAGAGCTTTTTCGCATTTGGCTCCCAAACTCTGGAATAGCCTTCCTGATACCGTTCGGGGTTCAGACACACTCTCTCTGTTTAAATCTAGATTAAAGACACATCTCTTTGGCCAAGCATTCAAATAATGCATCTCATAATCTTTTACTGCAGTCATAATCTTTTACTGCAGTTATATCTAATCAAATGCACATTATTATTCGTTAGTTTGGGTTAAACAAATCATTTTTGCTTGGTTGGAACAGCAGCTACGCTAATTATGTTTGTATTTGTTTCTCTGTCTTTTGCCACGGGATTAACATCCCGTGGTAACTAGGATTTACACAAGCTTCAGTCTGGATCCAGAACACCTGAGAAGAGATGATGCAACTCCTCAGAGGACCTCAGATGATGCCAACCCTGAAACAACATCCAGAACTACCACATTTTGCTATAAGTTTGATTGCATCATATAATAATTGCTGTTAATATTGTTCATCGTCTGTTTTATTACGTCTTATATTGATTTTTCCGTTCTGCTGGTTCGTCTGGTCAGAGGAGAACTGGCCCCCCGACTGAGCCTGGTTTCTCCCAAGGTTTTTTCTCCATTCTGTCACCGATGGAGTTTTGGTTCCTTGCCGCTGTCGCCTCTGGCTTGCTTAGTTGGGGACACTTCATTTCCAGCGTTATCGTTGACATGATTGCAAAGATATTATTTAAACTGAACTGAGCTGGATGTTGACATCACTGAATTCAATGATGAACTGTCTTTGACTAAAAAAATGAGTGTTTACTATTGTCATTTTGCATTATTGACACTATTTTCCTAATTAATGCTGTTCAGTTGCTTTGACACAATCTGTATTGTTAAAAGCGCTATATAAATAAAGGTAACTTGACGACTTGAATGTCAGATTTATTTCTATCATTCTACATCTATATGCCTTTAATTTTCAATCCATACATCCATCCATCAATGCATACATACATACATCCAGCATTGTGTGTTTGAAGTCTCAGTCCTGTTCAAATAGTAATATAATTATGTTTTTGCTCTCTTCCTAATAGACTGCCCAGTGCATTTAAACAAAGAAGACTTTCCATTTGTAAAAACCATGGGAACGAGAATATCAAAAAATGCAAGTAACATTGAATTTAGTTTATTCAGCTTTAATTTGAATTTCTGTGAGACAGCTTCAGACAGCTTTGGGATAAAAAAATAAATAAAGAATTTACATTTTGAAAAAAAAGTTCATGTAATTTGCTTAATTTCAGGGGAAGAAAGAGACAAAGGTGCGCTGGCAGCCTTGCTCTGGCTGGTATGTACTTTTTATATTGATATTGATTTATATTGAAAAACGCTTAGCATGCAAAGTTTTCTAGTTAAGCTGTAAATAAAACCGTTTTACACAAGTTTGTGTGAACTTTATTCTCTTTATCTTATATTATGCTACTTAAATGCAGTTTTACTTGCATCTTGTTTTTTTAATGTCTCTTAGTGTGAAAATAATTTACTTAAAATTGATTTTGTTTTCCAGTGGATTAAAGGGAAGGACACGTGGGAGCCTTATGAACTTTTTCATTCAGTTGAATAAATTGAAGTGTTTTTGTTGTTGTTGTTTTTATTAAAGCTTAATGCACTAAACCATTAAAGAAGATTTTAAATAGTTTTACTGTATTTCTATAGAGACACTTGAAGATATTGTTGAACTGTATTGATTTGTCTGTGTCTATCTGCCATGTGCACTCATGTTTATCTTGACCACCCCCTCTTGTATTATAAGTTCATTTGTCCGACCTGCTGTTCTTAATTACCCTCCTCAATTCTTTTCCTATGTTTCTCCCCATGTTCTCTCTCCTCAGTTTGTTGTGTCTAGTAACCTCCTTTGTATGAGGCGCCGGACTGGACAAAAGTGAAGCGAACGCGGAGAGAGAGAGCGAGTGTTATAACTCGACTCGCTAATTAACTGCAACTGTAAATTTGACAGGATGTCTGAAGCAGCTAGGAGAATTATAAATAATATTCTTTTAAGTCCAGCTGTACTTGAAAATATTGACAGAGCTCTCTGTCAAAACAGTACTTCGGAAAATCAAATATCTTCACCAAATGAGGTACAGAGGCTTTTTAATTCCACTGCCAACGTTACCCGGCCTGCATTTGATTTTTCCCGCAATTTTTGTGGATCAGCCAGAAGCGGGTCCGTAAACATGCCACGGAACAGGTATGTTCTCCTTTGTCTGAATTCGTTAATGTTATAAACATTATAACTTGTGATACCCTGACACTTTAAAATGTGACTTTATACTGTGGTAAAATACTGCGGTCAAACCAGCCGCGATAGAAATTAGTGCGCGTATTACTATTACCGTAATTTCACTATAAACAGAGAAAGCGCACTTGCAGAGCGCTTTTCATTTAGACATTCAGAATTGGGAGATCGTATAACAACGTATAAATATCGTCTCGATATTTGTTTTGTACTTCTGCTTTAATATCCTTTATCTTTGACGGTTCTGTTACAATTTTTTCTTTAAACACACACACACTTCAAATCGTTGTTTTATGTATGAATTACAGCAGGATTCGTAAAAAACAGACACAATAAAGTATATACTTCAAGTACCTGAGTTGATTTTTCGTTTGTTTTATTGTGTATGTGAGAAATGTGCCATTATTATACCTCAGATCTATAAAGACCCGGCTTCTAATAAGTTAAAAAGGTCCGTTCTCACACAGTTCGTCACATATGACATTTTTTTACAGTAGTGTTTTGAGATGTGATATTACATTTCTGAGGGCTAAAAAACCCCATTTCTAATAAACATAAAAACAGTGGTCAGTTCTCATATAGAACGTCCCATACTATATGCTCGCCTCATATGAAAACATTTTACAAATGTGTCATTATTGTCCTTTAGAGGCCTATAAAGACCTAATTTCTAAGAAGCAGAAAAAAAAACTATTGTCAGTTCTTACAAAGTACCTCCCGTAGGCTAGTATACACACATCACATGAAAACAACTTGTTGCAGCATTTTAGAGATATATGAAATTATTACACCAATGGCCTCTACAGTAGAAGCACTATTTAGAAGGCATGACAGTTCTTATTGGAGACATTTCAGATAATATGTACATTTCATATAAAGTCATTTTACTAAGGCATTTTAGAGAATTTCAAGCACGCTCTGCATTAAAGGGGCAGGGTCACAAAATAACTTTCTAACTAGCATGTATAAAACTTTGCATAAGATATATGAAAATACATGAAAAACATTTCTAAATAGTTAAATTAACATTTCTACTTTTTAAACTAAAACCACGAATTAGCAAACAGTGAAAAATATAACGTTGCACATCAAACTTACACAGCACACAGACTCCATATAAGGTCTGCTGATAGAGTAGGAAATGCCTTGCATGAAATGTCCATTATATATATATATACACACACACACAGACACGCATAAAAAGAAAACAAGTAGATAGAATAGGGAACGCTAGTGTTAGAGGGTGCACATAATATGGGAGGTTTACTCAGAATGGATAACTCATAACTCTAAAACAAAAACTCTTAAATTATAAAAATTATCAAGTTAAATGTTTTTCTTTGATTTATGCATATATGACAGAACTTATAGGAATCTACCAATGTTTTTTTTTTGTACTTACCACATTACATCTCTCTATAAGCCTCTGAAGTGAAATAATGACACATTTATCTAAAATGCCACAATATAAAATGTGCATATGATCTGAAATGTCCCTATAAGAACTGAAATACAAACACAAAAAGGGAATCTGCACACCTAACAAATGCAAAGTTCAATGTCCTTTGAACAAAAATGTATTACTTAATATTTATGTGGAAGTGGCAACAAAATCTAAGTGCACTAACAAAAAATGTGACTGAACTTACACACACAAACAAACAAAAAGAAAACATTTCAGTCTGTACTGGACTATCTTCAGTGCTGCACTGGCTAGACAGCGGTGATAAACTGCCCAGTATTTAGCTAAAAGAATTTACATGCAGTGGCATGCCTATAACACAGCAACTTGCTGGCTCAGTCCAAGACAAGTTATACATCAGTTTCCACAAAGTTTTACAGATGCTTCATCACATGCCTATATCTAAAATAAAAAATGTTCAGGGTGTTAGTCAGTGTTCTTAAATGTACTGTATCTGAAATATTAATTCATCTATTTTGAATAGGCACCTTTATTTGTAGATAAATCTTTTTCAAATAAATATTAAAAAACATAAAAATGAACATACTCACATCTAATGCAGTGCAACAAAATTATACAAGTTAATATAAAATTTCCCTTAAACATCGTGGAAATTGCAGGATAATAGCGTTGCGTTTTACACAGAATTTCTCACAGAATAACACTTTCGCGCGTATTTTCGGCCTCTCTCGTGCATCTCGCGCTCTCTCGGACACACTCGCTCTCTCTCTCCGCGTTCGCTTCACTTTTGTCCAGTCCGGCGCCTCATACCTTTGTGGTTCCCCTGCAGGAGTCCTGACCCATGTTATTTTTGCCAGCTCTGCCTGCCTGTGTGCCTGAAGTGTTTGAGAGGACTGTTTTCCCTCATTGGGGAGGTTTTTGCTGAGGTTTTGTCATTGTTCAATAAAGCTGAAGTACATTCACTCTGCATATGAGTGTCCTCGCCTCATCCCTACCCACATTTATCATGGACCTGTGCTAGTTGAAATATGAAGCAGTTTATATTCATATATATACATGCACATACATAATAGGGCTGTCAAGCGGTTTACCATTTTAATTTAATTAATTACATGATGTGGCGATTAATCACAATTTAATCACATAAACTTTTGCTGAAAAATTACCCCCGAATCATTTTTGTGTAAACCATCAAATAGACATTACAAAAAGTAGCTTGAGAAAGAAATATTTGATTCTACAGATAATTAGAATGAAAGAACATTAACCAAGTGTTTCCAAACATTCAGGAAGGACTTTTGACCAGTCATCCTTAAAGAACGGCTTCTCAGCTACATTTGATGATATCTGGTGTGAAGAGCTTGCCAGAGGTCATTACACAGCACATCTATTTGTTTACAGTCTAGACTGCCGGTGTCTACGTGTCATTAGTCTACGGTTTCACAAAGATTTTTCCAAACTACGCTCTGAATATTTGAAAGGTATCATCAATGTGTACAATAATTAAATAATTTTAATTTCAATTCTATAATGTGTTGGTCTACAATTGTTACTTACTGAGAATGAGATGACAAATACCTGAAAATTAACTAATTCAAACATTTTACTGCCACTTTAGAAGAGACTGATACTTCACATTTAAAAAAATAATAAAGATGAATATAAATAAAGATTTTAGAGAGAGAGAAGGATTTGTTCAAACTGGCATGATAAAAACATAATATGACTGATACGTACTAATGTCATTGTAATACTTACCAAAGATGATTTGGTCCTCTAACATTATATACTCTCCTCCTAATTGCATGTCTTGTACGGATCATGGTGCCAACAGGGTCAACTGCTGCCAGTCGCTCCCGGACACGTCTTCTTTGGATAGAGAGTCCTCTGCTTCTGAGACTTCCTATGCAATTGAACAATGTCATCATCATCAGTATAAGCTCACTTGACATCAAAATGACACGATTAGATATCATGTTAATATTTTATATATAATATGCTTGTACACTTGCCTTGGACAAGTGTAACTCCGGCATTAGGTGTATGACTGATAACTGAATGAATCAGTGCATCGAGGTCAAGATCTGAAATTGTGCTGAAATTAGTCTCAATGCCATACTGAAGGCATCGTCTCCGAATGGTTCGACAGCTTACACCCAGACAGGTAGAGATAGCTGTCCATGACATTCCTGTTTCTCTTAGCTGGGTCAACTGCTCTCTGGTCAGATCATACCTAGGGATATACAAGGAAATGCAGACTTTTAGTACTTAATGTACTTGTGTGGAATTATGTCAGATGCACTTTAGAATTAATTTTCATTACATTGTAATTCTGCACTGAATTGTTATTTATTTTTTATTTTTTTGCTGCTTGCTCAAATTACTTCATTAAAATGAGTTAAAGCAACACAATTCCTATATATTAATAAATTCACATGTAGTAGTCTACAATTACGTTTTAATCTACATAATTGACTATAAGGTAAACTTCGTTTTAGAGGAACTGGATGATAATTACCAATAGCCAATATCGTATTTTTATCTGTTGGTTTTCGAAATACTGTTGTATGTAATGACTTTTTAATCTTAGTTACTTTCACATCCAAATAAATGATCGAATCACGGCTCTTTTCCAGTGTGAATTTAATTGATTGATCATATTTTCGAATTAATGAATGACACAAATAGATCAAGGCTAATTCTCGTTCAGAACCTGTCATCAAACAATCATCAATATATGGCATCCAAACCTTAATATATCAATAAGACGGATTGTTATTATAGATATGATCCTGTTCAAATTTACCCATGAATAAATTGGCATAATTTAATGGTATTGGAGTATGAACTTGTAGATAAATCTTTTTCAAATAAATATTAAAAAACATAAAAATGAACATACTCACATCTAATGCAGTGCAACAAAATTATACAAGTTAATATAAAATTTCCCTTAAACATCGTGGAAATTGCAGGATAATAGCGTTGCGTTTTACACAGAATTTCTCACAGAATAACACTTTCGCGCGTATTTTCGGCCTCTCTCGTGCATCTCGCGCTCTCTCGGACACACTCGCTCTCTCTCTCCGCGTTCGCTTCACTTTTGTCCAGTCCGGCGCCTCCTACCTTTGTGGTTCCCCTGCAGGACCCATGTTATTTTTGCCAGCTCTGCCTGCCTGTGTGCCTGAAGTGTTTGAGAGGACTGTTTTCCCTCATTGGGGAGGTTTTTGCTGAGGTTTTGTCATTGTTCAATAAAGCTCAAGTACATTCACTCTGCATATGAGTGTCCTCGCCTCATCCCTACCCACATTTATCATGGACCTGTGCTAGTTGAAATATGAAGCAGTTTATATTCATATATATACATGCACATACATAATAGGGCTGTCAAGCGGTTTACCATTTTAATTTAATTAATTACATGATGTGGCGATTAATCACAATTTAATCACATAAACTTTTGCTGAAAAATTACCCCCGAATCATTTTTGTGTAAACCATCAAATAGACATATTACAAAAAAGCTTGAGAAAGTAAGAATGAAAGAACATTAACCAAGTGTTTCCAAACATTCAGGAAGGACTTTTGACCAGTCATCCTTAAAGAACGGCTTCTCAGCTACATTTGATGATATCTGGTGTGAAGAGCTTGCCAGAGGTCATTACACAGCACATCTATTTGTTTACAGTCTAGACTGCCGGTGTCTACGTGTCATTAGTCTACGGTTTCACAAAGATTTTTCCAAACTACGCTCTGAATATTTGAAAGGTATCATCAATGTGTACAGTAATTAAATAATTTGAATTTCAATTCTATAATGTGTTGGTCTACAATTGTTACTTACTGAGAATGAGATGACA